AGACAGATAGATAGATAGATAGATAGATAGATAGATAGATAGACAGACAGACAGATAGATAGATAGATAGATAGATAGATAGATAGATAGATAGATAGATAGATAGATAGATAGATAGATAGATAGATAGTTTATTAATAACCGATTTGCAACCAAAAGTTCAATTATACGATTATTTACAAATTTTAAATATTGATAATTACGTTAAATAGACTAAATGTATTAAAACAGCAATAAGGACACTAAATATATGTTCTAAAAAACCGGTTATTTAAACCGTTCAAGCCTTAAGGGCATTGAAGGTAATAAAACTATTACGAAGCCTGTTCGTCTTAAAAACTGGCTTAAACTTCCGCATATTTCTTAGGTTAAAGGTACATGTGTTGCGACCAGGAATAAGTTCATGGAGCTTGTTCTGTTCATTCTGTAAAACATTCTTAAATAGTTTATCAACTAGTTTCTGGCGGCGATCTGAAAGTTTAGTCAGGCCTGATTCAACTAAGGCTTCATTATATGAGCAAAGAGGAAAAATAATGCGCATAGCCCGCTTTTGTACCTCTTAAAGTTCGTTGGAGAGGTACACGGGTAGGCCGTCGTGAAACACAGGATAAGCGTACCCTGTAATCGGACGAATACAAGTACAGAAAAATTGGACTAACTCACGGGTACCAAGACCAGAGCGTTTAAGCTGAGATAAGCTATACAAGCGCTTTTAGCTTTCTTAATAATGGAGTTAATGTGACAATTCCATTTCAAATCATTAGAGATGTTAAGGCCTAGAATTTTGGCACAAGTAGTTATGTCAATGGGCTTGCCATTAACAACAACTGGATCGAAAGAAGTAATGAGTGCTGGACCTTTTGCGAACGTCTCGCCGGCTCGGATTGCTCAGGCCTTACAATTTCCTGCGGGTGTAGAGATACTTGTATAACTTGTCCACACTTAACTAATTGTTTAAGGCTCAAAGTGCTTTTAAAGGGGGAGTCTGCTTGAAGGCTAGTGCTCTGAAAAAAAAAGATTCTCGAAAATTTAGATTCACGATAAAGTATACAGTTACGCTTACCGCTCTGATTGGTTGATTTCTGAATGCGTTAGTTTCTGATTGGTTGATTTCTGAATGCGTTAGTTTCTGTTCGCGGGCATTGCTTTATGTTCAACCCATGAGCGCTGTGCTGTGCTGTTCAGTTTTGTAAGATAAACCTCCAAAACAAAGAGACTTGAACAAGTTCCTTTTATGAAGAATAAATAAAACTAACACACATTTTTAAAACAGCACTTCCTATCCGTTTATCAGCAAGTACTTCGGGTTTTGAAAGAACACTGCAAAAAATCTCGCCTTTGATTGGCAAATTCTCAAACCTTTTCCGTGGCTGCGTGCTCCCAAAAACACTTCCAGTGATACGCCATGAACGCTGGACTGAAGACACTGCGCAGTGTCGAATCCAGTCCTCTTTGTAACATTGGACAGGACTGCTGGATTGAGTGCGTGACCGGAAATCGTCAACTGTCGCTAAGTGGGTGATACCGCAATTATTCTGACTTGTAAATCAAATTCTTTTCTAAAAAATTTCTTTTTCCCTTTTCGGGAAACGATGGTTTATTCCCTTCCTGGCAACAAAAATTAAATAGGGAGGGCAAATGTTTTACCTTTGTTAAAAATTATTCGTATTAGTAATGCCGCAGCATTCAAACATTCCTGATTCTCCTTATCTGACTAAATTCGTCTTTTTTAAACTAGTTTCTGTCAGTTATGACTTTGTCATTTGTTCTACAAACACTAGGACGTTTAGTAGACCCATATTAGACCGAATATTTACCATTCCCACTTTGAAAAAAGAATTACTATTTCAATCAGTGTTAAGTTACAAAGGAGGCACGCTCAGAAAATTGTGCTGTTTCATTTTTTCATATCACGTTAATAGACTATTTAGAGAGAGATGATTCACCTTTAGAGGATACAACTAGATAGCAGGGGGAAATACAATAACTTGACTGATAAAAAGAAGAGCATTACCAAGTGTGATCAAATGTTGTATTCTCTCAGCCAAATTTCAAGTGTCTGGCGTTCGTTAGATAACTTACGAACATATCAAGCCTAATTATAGCGAAAGGATTCAACATGGCGACGAAAAGCGATTACAGCAACCGGTATATGTACTATTCAGCATCTGGAACATCTATTTTGACGGCACATAGTTAGCGATAATGACAACAAAGATTTTATTTCGCCTCTTTATACAAGGTGAGCTATCGTTTTTGTTTAGTTTACGAAATTTACATGGTTTCCTCCCTGGGTGCCCGTCACTTTACAAACTTGCGTGAAGTTTTCATACAAGCTGATTTTCTTTCCTCTCTCTCTTTGCTTGAAAAAGTATTTTTAAGTAACGATCTGTATCGGTCTTATCAATATTTCCCGCCCTACTCATTAAATTCGGTGTATTAAAAATATGCGTTGCGAAAATTAAAATTATTAAACAAAAATAGAGTTCGTTTCATTACTCGTGCGGGATGCGATTACAAAATGCCACTTTTGTCGTCAAGGGAAAATCTAAATAATCGATCACGAATTCTTTTTCGCGTTTATTTCGTCTTTTATTGCAGAATATTTTGTTTAAAAGCGCCGTCATATGTAAAGGAAAGGTAGCTGCACGAATGTTGCACTATTTCGATAGGCGATCGTACGTATATCTCTAATTTAAGTGAATGACGGCGCATAATCTTATATCTAAGTTTTGTGTCCGTAACTGGATGGAAAAATACGACCGTCAGAAATCCTTTATTTGAATTTAAAGCGCAAATTGCGGTATTGCTTTCATATTCGAAGCTTGTTTTACAGCAATATTATCTCTTGAACTGATCGTCAGTTCACAGACCAGCTGTTTACAAAGGGAAGCCTGCATGATTGCAGACCTGTCAAAACGCGAGAAAAGAACGAAAATTGCTTATTTTTCCCCTTATGAGAACTGGACATATTTTTAATTTTGTGTTTTTTAGGCGTTTCTGAATTCCAGGGATTGTTTTTGATGTGAAGATATGAGAGAAGAAATAGAATTGTATTTAGTTGATGTAATTTGTAAGGAAACATTAACGCCGCTAGTAAATGAAGCTGCATTTATCCCAGCCAGATTTCCATGACAATCAACCCTCTGCGGTGATGGTGTGACAATGTTGCAAGTTTTCTCAAAGCAAGTCCCCTGGTCAAAACACTGACCTTCCAGTTTTGTTACAGGGAGGCCAATTGCTAAGGAAAAAATTATATAAATAAGGACAAATTAATTTGACTTGAACAGTTGATAAGGAAAAATTAGTATAAACGGATTAGGATATGTTTTCCTTCCCATTTTTCGCAAATAGTTTTGAATAGCAAGGAAGCCTAACCAAATTATAAGCTCAGAAGCCCTTGAAAGTGTCTATTTGAGCCCAGCTTGCATCATTTCATACACAGAAAATTTGAGATAAGACTTTACTAGAAACACATACAGTTGTGGTTCTCACTGAAGCAAGAGACACACTTATACAAATTATGTGCAAGATCACAAGTAATTAAGAACAAACTGCATTTTGAAAAGAATGAAAACAGACCACAAATGAAGTATCCAAATTAATGCGATTGATCAACAAATCTAGTAAGCATAACAGGTTAAATGTCTCTTTCTAATCTATATTAAATACTTCCACATAGGAATGACACAATCCCCTGGAAGTTCACAGTTAGTTAGTAACAATTCTATAGAAATAATTTTTTTTTCTGTTGGTTTGCAGGAGGTCTACTTCTTCAATTATCACCTTGCATAAGAAGTAGCACATTCTTTTTCAATGCCACCTCGGCAATGCAAGTGTCGTCAGCAACTATTCCACTCAAAAGTGGCTTTGATTTCAGTTTTAGAACTTGCAGTGGTGGAGTTTTACTTGATCAAAATGGGTCAAGTAATAGTTTTGTCCGCATTGAGGTGGTTCACACCATTGTGAATTACACTATGACACCTGTTTTCTTTTTTGCAAGCCATCTTAAATTGACATGGAAAATTAATAGTGTGGAAGAGTCTGTAACAGTGGGGAAAGACTTGGATAAAAATATTCTTCATCGAGTACAATTCACTGCTGGCAGTGGACAAGTAAATTCAACTCTCACCCTAAGTGGTTTGACATCCCAGTCTGTGCAAATTCCGAACACCATTTTAAGATTTGTTGCTTCAGGTCCACTTTTTGCTGGGTACCCTGTGTCTGGGGGTGAAGGTTTTGTTGGATGTATCATAAGTGGAAGAAATATTCCTCTGCCAAATAGTTTCTCTGTGAACATCAATGCAGACTGTCCACTTGGTCCATCTGGATGTCCAGCAAAAGGTTGGTTTGATTTCAGGTTTTGAATTTTGCCCATTCACTTAATCATGTGATCATGAAATTTATACTCACTCGGGGCTTCTATAGCAGACTAGAGGTAGATTTGGGGGCCAGTTCAGTCATAAGGTAATTATATCCAGTCTTTAAAAGTCACATCTGATAACAAGTCTTTTTTGTGTCAGCTTCAAGATCTAAATGAAAAGGAATTGTGAAAACACTGTGTGATAACATTTTAACCTGCTTTTCTAATGCTTTTCATGTAATGTTAATATACTTGTGAAATTTCCATTTGAAGTGAAGTCTCTTTGGGGAGCAGGGATAGCACAGTGGTGAGTGTACTCACCTCCTACTACTGTGGCCTGGGTTCAATTCCCGGACTTGGCATCACATGTGGTTTGAGTTTGTTGTTGGCTCTCATCCTTGCTCCGAGGGTTTTTCTTTGGGTCCTCTGGTTTTCCTCCCTTTGCAAAAACCAACATCCAGGCAAATTCCAATTCAATCTGGAAACAGTGGACAAGAAGAGCCACCCAGTGGAATGTCCATTGCTAAATTATTATTTATTATTTTTATTTTATTATTTATTTATTTATTTGTTTAGATTTTACCATTACAAGCACTGAAGTGTACACAGAGATACATCTAGTGTAGAGAACAACTGGTTGACATGCCAGTTTTTATTCAATCCTGTTTTGTACTTGTTAAGTTAAGGGACTATATCCCAGGAGGGAGTGGTCTGAGTTAGAGCCAAGAGCCAGGGAAACCTGAGAAAATACTGTCTTTACTGCAACAGAAACTAAAACATGTTGTGGCAAAATGAGCCTCTTGAGCGTGTGTTTAGACTTTTTCAAACGGATAACAATATATAAAAGTAAGGAATCTAATGTTTATACATGTTTATTTTGACTTTTAGTATGTCCAGCTGGTTTTACTGGATACTATTGTGAAGTAAACATTGATGACTGCGCAATTGCCAAGTGTCATCACTACAGCACTTGCATTGACCTAGTCAATAACTACAGCTGTAATTGTGGACCAAGGTGGTCAGGCCAATTGTGCGATATCTTCCAGGGATCCATGTGTAATAAGACGAACAACAACAACACTGATGTATGTAAGAATGGAGGTGTTTGTCGTGATACTTCAGACAAAAACAACTACACATGTACATGTAATCCTGGTTTCACTGGACGCAACTGTGAGAATGAATTTGATCCTTGTCAAAGTTCTCCTTGCAAGCAAGGAGGAACATGCTCCAAGCTTAGTGTGGATGACTTCAAATGTGATTGTCTACTGGGTAAGTTCCTTTGATGATTTTTTTATTTTGAATAATAATGTACAAAGTTGATCATGTAGTTTAATCATCTGGGTCAGCACAGTTAAATGGTTACAATGACTGGCCTTTTGGTAACAGTCTTTTTCAGGACTGCTCTCACTCAGATGATCAGATCACGTGATCCACTGTTACTCCTGGGATAAAAGTATTTAATACATAATATCCACAGTTAATTTTTTTCTGAAGCATCTCAATGGGCAGATTTCTTAAAGCCTTGAATCTAATTGGTTCATTTTGCACTCCTAACCTGTCCAGCTTTTTACCATACAACCACACACCAGAATTTTCTCTGTGCCATTCACGGCAACTTGGAAAATAAAAAAAGATCATAAGAAAGAAATAAACAAGTTATTTACTGGTCTTGGTTGATGCTTACAAGGTAAAAACTGTACCCTTAATCTTGGGTGCCACGCTTGACATTCAGGCTTTGCACCCTTTTTTTTTTCTCATACAGATGACCTGAACAGTAAAATAATTAACAATTATTCCACGAGCCCGCGTTGGATATGAGATGATAGATAGCCAACGAGGCGCGTAGCGCCGAGTTGGCTATAATCATCTCATATCCAACATGTGCGAGTGGAATAATTGTTTTATTAAAAAAAACGCCCCCAAGATATTAGACAAATCTTCTTGACTATATTTTGTAAGAAGAAACCGGATGTTACAATGGACAGATATTAGATTATGGTATATTGGCTCATATACCATAATGGTTAA